TACGGGGACAGGTTATAGACACCAAAACCACTACAATAAGTTGTAGTTGTTCTGCTGACTACAGTGTTCCTTTAAGTGAACATTCCCATCTTACTCTAGCTCTATAAAAAAATGAGCTCAATGAAGTTGTTATTAGCGATCACTATAGTGCCAGGAAAACATACTGCTTTCTCCTGGCACTATAGTGCCCCTGAGGGTGCCCCCCCGCCAGGGGACCCCTCCCCGCCTCGCTCTGGAAAGGGGTTTAAACTACCTTTTTCCCAGCGCCATGAGAGCGCCTCTCCTTCGTTCTCGCTTCGGGCTTCGCTGAATGCGCCAGCGCATTCAGCTGGAAGTCGCATAGGAAAGCATTTACAATGCTTCTAGGACGCTGGAGAGCATGCTCTCACTGTGAAAATCACAGTGAGAAGCACGCCAGTTTCTAGTGGCTGTCAATGAAACTGCTATGTTTATTAAAATGGGTTAACCTCAAAGTTGATTTGCACCCAGACCACTTCATTAAGTTGAAGTGGTCTGGGTGCCTAGAGTGGTCCATTAAGGGGCTTCTTGAAATCTCACTTCGGGCCCCTGTTTAAAAATGTGTAACAGATTGTTTAGTAGTTACACCTTGGCCAAATGTGCCAAGCAGCGCAGACATGCTGGGAGACTATAGCTTCCCTTGTTAAGGCCCCCATGGTGCAGAATGGGTTAATAACCCCTTATGTCACTTACCTGGGAACAGCGCTGACATCCCTTGATGCTGGCTCAGCTTCGCCCACGCTCCTCCCCTGCCGACCAATAGTCGCCTTCAAACCCAGAAATCCCTCTAATGGCTGTCTGGTAGACAGCCACTAGAGGAGCAGTTAACCCTAGCAGGTAATTATTTCAGTATATAAAAACTGCAATAATTACATGCTCAGGGTTAAGGATGATGCGAGTTTGCAACCAGACCACTTCAATGAGCTGAAGTGGTCTGGGTGCCTACAGTGTCCCTTTAATCCTTCCTATAGTTATCTGGACTAATAATGACTCCCATATGCATTTTTAAAATGGCTTTTCAACTTTTACATTTGTGACTGGGCGGAAAGCTTTGGTCAGCTGTCACATAATTAATCCTTGCAATGCCTATGGTAATTGTGGTAATTGATTTTTTTGTTAGCTGGTTAATACTGCAAATAGTCTGGATTACAATACATTCACTTGCCAATTTTTTTTTACAAGATACACATATGAATGACTAATTTTAAACCAGACACCACATTTTGACTCATGAGAGCTGCAATCTGCTCATTTTCACCAGTCAAAATTCAGTGTCTACTAAATAACCTATGGGTTGTTCTAACAAGTTATCCAGTGCTGGTATATAGAAATTAGGTTGTTTGGTTGAAATGACCAAACTGCAATTGTATAGATAGGCTTCCCATTTTTGTTTCTGTCTTGGACAGCCATGATAAGATGTGAGCACTGCACTAAAACAATACTATATAACAGATTTCTGAGATTGAGATTACCTAATTTCTACTTTCAGAGGTGTATACATTTCTAGAACTGTTAAAATGACCAATTTTAGTATTGGAATTATTGTTTTAAGGATTTACCCAGTGTTGGTTGCTGTGTCGGTAGACCAGTAACTAATATAGCTCTACACATTCATACAAATATAACTGAGGGAAGCTACAAGTGCTATACGTACTCAATAATCAGGAAGGGACTCGAGGCCTTGCTGTTGCCTATGTATGTAAGAGAGAAAGAAATGTAAATTAAAATAAAAATAACTTTAAAAAAATATTAAAAAAATTATATTCGTCAATATGCCAATGTTTATGATGTGTATTCCACTAAAAGGGCAGCATTGTACCACGGATCCCTAATCAATCAATCAATCAATCAATCAATCGATCGATCCTGTCCAAAGATCCACACAGAGCGTGTCCCTATGATGTCCGTAGAACGTTAGAGATACCTGTATCCAGGCAGCCAACGCGCAGTGTATCAAGTGTGGAATCCGCACGTGCACAGTCTTACTTGGGAGCAAGTTCAGCTCGTGCATCGCCTTCCACCAATCACAGAACGGCCTGCTCAGTCTCCTGCGTGGCAGACCCTTAGAAGGCCTGTGATTGGACGTTGGGTAATTGCGGCAGAGCGGAGATTCTCACACTCAGTGAGACGGTGTGTGGGTGTGAAGGAGGCTGCGGAGGCTGGCCGAGTCTGACCGCAGTGCGCACAGAGGAATTACTAGAAGCACAGGTAGTACTGTGTGTATCTATCTATCTATCTATCTATCTATCTAATATTTAGGTTCATTCTCTATCCACATATTGTTCTATTTATCCCTCTGCTGTCTGTTGTCACTCATAAATAGAGATGGATAGGGTGTGTAGAATGGAATTTCTGGACATGGAAGAAAAATAAAAGTATTTTTGGAGCTGACAGAATAATATGAAAAAAGGGTAATTAGTAGATTTCATTATACTTTATTTACAAGCTTGTTTATTTTGTGACTTGTTACCAATTAAGATAAATTGATAAGCATTAAATAAGCCCAATAAGAAATATAGCATGATTATTATTATTATTATCGCCATTAATATAGCGCCAACAGATTCCGTAGCGCTTTACAATATTATGAGAGGGGGGGATGTAACTATAAATAGGACAATTAAAAGGAAACTTACAGGATCGATAGGTTGAAGAGGACCCTGCTCAAACGAGCTTACAGTCTATAGGAGAATATTGTAAAAATTGGGTTGTTTTATATTCTATATATTTGCCAAGATTCAGTTGAAACACTTGTCCCTTGTTATCAATATATAACCGAGGTGGAATGTGGGGGAGGGGAGTTAATTCAGAAAGCTGTGTTTTGACTTCTAGTTTTCAGTTCTTCTATAGTGTTGTTTTAGGAAATAATCCATTGACATATTTTGTCACTAACATTGTCGGTGAATTTAAAAATTTAGGTTAAAGTACCAAATAGGAAAAAATTCTTCAAAGTCAGTTATTGTAACGGATACCTCCGCCAAGGACCGTTTCCTAGCTGGAACAGGGGACAAACCGCAGTACTTCTGCCCACAGTCGCTGTGTCTTGGGGTCCTGGAACTGCTCCGTCCTGGACCTGAATGGGGAACTCACTCTATCCACCCCCAGGCACTAGACAACACTCAGTCCTGGGAGCTCTAGTCCTTACAAGGACTTTCCCTGTTGAAGCCTCCACACTGGAACAGTGATTAGTCCTTTCCTCTCCCAGTAACCAGTCGACACGTAGTTCTGGGAGTACAAGCTGGAATGGTTTAATCTGGTCAGATGGCCTGCTTTTATACAATTCTAGACACAGTTAAGCATGCCCCTGACACTTCCACACAATCAAGATAATTCCTCTCCTGGACCTGAGAGGGGGCTAGTTACCAGACCCAAACTCCTCCCCTGTGCCTGAGAGATACTTGAGTCAGGAACTGAACTAACTCAATTATCTCCAGACACAAAAAAAACACAATTCCCAGACATCCCAAAAATAGATATAAAATACATAGAACCCCCTAAAAGTTAAATTTGTGCAACAAAGTTGCGTTCGTGCAAACAAGATGGCCACCACCTAGTGGTCGTTCATAGGAAATGCAAACACTTAGAACACTGGTGGAAATTGCTATAAAGTAGCAATTAGGCTTTACAAGCTCCCGGGTGGTCTCCGGTTAGTGCGGCTGTTCGGTTCCCGAACCATATAGTCCAAATACACGAATGGAGACTTTTAAAGTGTATATTACAGGGCCCATGGTCTGTGGGCAGGAGGCTGGCAAGCAGGGTCCTACAGGAGTTCGTGGCAAACTCACATGGGAAGGGGAGTTTGTCACATATCTTCCCCCTCCCGGGGAGACTATCCAGAACTCAGACCTCCAATCGGTCTTGATCTGTGATAGTCTGGCCTTTCCCAAAAGGTGTAGTTGTCCAGACGGCCTCCTGCCACAAGTGCCCATTTATACATCCAGTGTCCTGAGGGGAAATAACCCAGCTGCACTTCTCCCGGTTGAACCAAGTTGTCGCTGGGAATGGATGGTTCCACTCCCTGCTCTGGGAGGTAATTCCTGCCGATGGGGAGAGGGACCTCATTTATGAAGCCATCTGCCCTGTAGCCAGCGGTTCAACTGGGTTGGTGGTGTGGTCGTCAGGCCCCAGAACAAAAGGACAAGTAGGGCAGAGGCCTGCTGCGCTCTGCCCTGATGCCAGCTCTTCTGCTGGGAGGATATCAGTGGAGGCCGTAGTTTCCTCCACTGCACCCGGGACATGGCTGGGAATTGGTCGCTGGGGAGAAGAATCAACTACCTCCCCTACCTGGCATTCCCACTGCAGCTGGGGAGGGACGATACCCTCTTCTCCCATGCTCTCACCCTGCTCTTGGGGAAGACTGCTGCTGGCATCCTCATCTTGGCCTGGATTCCGCAGTTGGGGATGTGGGCAAGCTGCCCAGCATCCCTGTAGGGCTGGCGCAGAGACCTCGGTCCCATCTGCACCCTCCACAACTGGGGGCTTGTCTCCCCTAGCTGCTGGGGAGTGGGACCGACCATCTCCACTTCCTGTATCTTTCCCTGTGATTGGGGCGAGGGACCAACTGTCCCCTCCCAAGGTGTCTCTGGCTGCCGCTGGGGAGACAGACCGTTTGTCTCCTCTCTCTGTATGATACATTGCCGCTGGGGAGAGAGACCGACCGTCTCTTCTCCCAATAACACACTCTGTCGCTGGGGAGGAAGGACGACACACTTCTCTCCCTGTAACTTGCTCGACCGTTGGGGAGGGGGGCCGACTGTCCTCACTCCTGACATCTCCATCTGTGGCATCCGACATCTCCATCTGGGCAGGCTGCTCAGCATCCCTGGAGGGCCTGTGGAGAGACCTCCGGCCCATCTCCACCTGCCATCTGGTGGTCTTCCCAGGACCAGTCAGTAAGGTCTCTTATTTCTGGGACTGGTTGGGAAGTAGGTGGTACAGTGCCCGGGTCTCCTGATGACAGGCATAGCTGCTGGGGAGGAGGGATGAAACTCAACGTTCCCGGTGTGATACAGTCCATAAGCCCCATCATGTCGGAGACAGGTGATGTTACACCTTGGATCAAGCGGGCATAGTCCTGTTCGAGCTCGCACTCCAGGTTAACCAGGTAGGACAAATCCTGCTGCAATTTTACCACTAATGTAAGTCCCAAGCTGTCTTCCCGCTTGTCCAGGTTTTCAAACCCCAGGGGATCCTCAAAAGCCTCCCATAACAGCCCAGGCCCAACGTAGTCCTTTCCCTTGGGGAGCTGGTAGGGGAGTAGCCCTGGGTAGAGGTGACCTGCATGCAAGGTCCAGTATGATTCCTCCAACCATACCTCGATTTCGACCAACCGCTCTAGTTCTCTTACCCACTTCTCTAGGGACTACTCTCCCAGAAACAACATTCGTAGGTCGAATTGGTCTCATCTGTGTTAGTTGGAATTTGGGAAAATTTCTCCGAGGACCCCCACCCAGAGTTCGGTTCGGAGCGTCACCTTCTATTCTTTCTTTTTTTCCGTTGAGATAGGGTAATCCAAACTGCACAGCACCTCCTGTAACTGAAGCTGGGTGTCGATGCCAGATACTGCCCGATGGTACTTGCCTCCCACCTCTGGAAGTAGTGCTGGTTTTCCCACAGCTAGGAAGCCAATCCACCTCTGCCACCAATGTAACGGAGCTCCCTGTACCCATGGCTGGGTACCTCCGCCAAGGACTGCTTCCTAGCTGGAACAGGGGAAAAACCGCAGCACTTCTGCCACCAGTTGCCGTGGCTTAACTGGGGTTCTGGAACCGCTCCGTCCTGGAGCCGAATGGGGAACTCGCTCTATCCATCCCCGGGCACTGGATGACACTCAGTCCTGGGAGCTCTAGTCCTTACAAGGACTTTCTCTGTTGAATCCTCCACACTGGAACAGTGATTAGTCCTTTCCCCTCCCTGTAACCAGGGAGGCACATAGTTCTGGAAGTACAAGCTGGAATGGTTTAATCCGGCCAGATGGCCTGCTTTTATACAATTCTAGACACAGTTAAGCACGCCCCTGACACTCCCACACAAACAAAATAATCCCTCTCCTGGACCTGAGAGTGGACTAGTTACCAGTTCCAAACTCCTCCCCTGTGCCTGAGAGGTAGAGTCAGGAACTGAGCTAATTCAATTATCTCCGGACACAAAAAACCCACAATTTACAGACATGCCAAAAATACCTTTAAAATACATAAAAGCCCCCTAAACGTTACATCCCCTGATAGCCCCGATCTGGGTGACCAACATATCCAAAAATCACCCAGTTTGGTTAAGGGGTTCGGGAATTTCCTGGAAGTCCTAATTTGACCGACCGCACAAGAGGCTCCTGCCCAAAGCAGTTCCATAAGATCAGGGCTAGCGGTCGGTCTAGTTCGGTAGTTTAAAACCGAACAAACTACCGAACATAGTCAATAGTTGTACCCTGGAGCTTGTTTCCCTTGTTTGTGGTAATGTTTCCACCGAACAGTTCCCTCCCAAGTGTTGTAGAACCGAACACAGGTGATGCTGGAAGTCCAGCGGTGTTCGGGAGTTTCTTTTTCCATGTTCAGTTCCATCGACTCGACGACCAAACACCGCTGCCTGCTTTCGTGCGAACAAGATGGCTGCCACCTCGTGGTCGTCCATAGGAAATGTGGCCACCCAGACGAACACTTAGAACAGTGTGGTAGAAATTTTTATAAAGTAGCAATTAGGCTTAACAAGCTCCAGGCTGGTCTCCGGGTTCGTGCGGCTGTTCGGTTCCCGAACCATATAATCCAAATACACGAATGGAGACTTTTACAGTGTGTATTACGGGGCCCATAGTCTATGGCAGGAGGCTGGCAAGCAGGCTTCTCCAAGTGTGTGGCAAACTCACGTGGGAAGGGGAGTTTGTCACAGTTATGTTTTCAGTTTGGCAATTTAGGACTAAAATTTGAAAAATATTTTAAATATTTCACTGGGAAAAAGGCTGTTAAAAAAATTCACAATATCCATGCATCTTTAGGTAAATACTATGTTTAATCCTTACATTGGTTAAGTCGCCACCACCATAATCTGAGGAGTTTGTCATTCAGTGATAAGCTAAGTTTGAAATATTATATCGATTTATTTATTACTGGCATTTGTTAAGCTCCAATATATATTCATACACACACATACATCCTAACTACACAGTGGGATATCCTAAATTGTGGGTTATTTCCCACCTTCCTGTGTTTGTCCGCTGGTATTATGTGTCCGACGTCCTGCAGCAGTCTGACATGTCTCATTTTCAGGCAGGTCAGCTAATTGTGGCTGCTCCCTTCTGACCCACCTATCATTCCACAAGATAAAGGCAAATAAAATGTTATCTATATATATGTTAGCAATTCTTTTGTACCTACACATTTTTAAATATCAATCTGCAGTGATTAATGCATGATAGGCAAGACACTCAGAGATCCTTCCAGTAGTTCAAAGGTTATCTTCCTTTTTACCATTATCTTCAGGGCTGATAAGATGGGAGACACATTGCAGCAATTGCTGGAGAATGATGAGCTTAGTGAGTTGCCTGAAAAGGTGCGGCTGAAGATAGAGAAGGCATTTTCTAAAAACCAACGCTTGATAACCAGCTTGGAAGCCACCAATGAGACTCTCAAATCAGATATGGGTATGTATGAAGTCTGATGTCTCTCAACAGTGGGAGTAGCAATTAATTGTCAATAAATCAAGTTATTTCAATAGGGTGTGTGTATTGTGATAACACAATCTTCCATATGCAGTAAGGATCTTCAGTGTTCACCATCCCTGCACTCTCCCCTACCTCACATATCCATTTAAAGGGACATTATAGTCACCAGAACACTACAGCTTATTGTATTTGTTCTGGTGAGTATAATCATTCCCTTCAGGCTTTTTGCAGTTAACACTGTAATTTCAGAGAAAATGCAGTGTTTACATTACAGTTTAGGGGTAACTCCACTGGCCACTCCTCAGATGACTACTAGAGGTGCTTCCTGGAGCAGTGCTGCATAGTGTACTTTACTGCCATTCAGTGTCTCCACCCTCTTCATGCAGACACTAAACCTTCCTCATAGAGATGCATTATTTCAATGGCCAGGGCTGTGTTTGACTTATGCTGGCTCTGCTCCTGATCTGCCTCCCTGACAGTCTCTGACAATCCTATGGTGAAGCATTGTGATTGGCTCACAGAATCACTTCTGATAATGTCAGGCATGCAGGAAGGTCATGGGCTGAGCCAACAGCTGCAGACCTGAATACAATTAAGATTTTACGATATTTAAGGTGTGGACAGGGGGGAATAGATGGTGGTTTTAACATTATAGGGTCAGCAATACATGTTTGAACCTATAGTGTTCCTTTAACTGTGATGTCTCTTATACCCACTATAGACATATGTACTGCCAGTTCCGGCCTTAGGGGTGTGCGAGCTGTGCGGCCGCACAGGGCGCCATGCGGCCGACACAGCTCAAACATGTCCGGCCGGGATTATAAAAAATTGTGGCGGGGCTAAACTGATGGTGGGGGTGGAGCTAAAAGTGCCAGGTAACTGCTGCAGGGGACGCAGGAAACTTCCCCAACAACCAGCCTCCAGGAGCTGCACTGCCTCCACTCCTCCATAATGAAGAGAGGTAACTATGTGTGGCTGTCTGTCTGTGTGTTTGACTGTCTGCCTGTGTATCTATGTGACTGTCTGCCTGTGTGTGAGTGTGTGTGCGACTGTCTGTGTGTGTCTGTGTGTATGTCTGCCTGTGTGTGTGTGGGTGGCTGTCTGCCTGTGTGTGTGTATGGCTGTCTGCCTCTGTGTGAGTGAAACATAGATGCCTGCCTGTGTGTGTGGGTGGCTGTCTGCCTGTGTGTGTGACTGCATGTAAGTATGTGGGGCTGTGAGTGTGTTTACCTGCCTGTAACTGTGTATGTGTGTACCTGTGTGTTTCTGCCTGATTCTGTGTATGTGACTGTCTGCCTGCGACTGTGTGTATGTGGTGGATTTGACAGTGTATAGGTATAACTGTGTGCATCTGACTGTGGGACTGTGTGCACATAACTCTGCAAAAAAATACACCTGCATTCACACATAGACCTAAATGCATATTTTTATCTCAATTACATACCCATCACACACAGCCAATAAACCCAGCACAAATATCACATACAACCAATACACGCATATCACACACAGTTAATACACCCATTACAAATATCACACACAGCCAACACATAGCATACATATCACACACAGTCATCACATACACAGACAACACAAACATTACATCATATTGTAGTGAGATGTATTACAGTGGAGCTCTGGTGAACTTGCGAGACAGTTATGCATGGTCTGTACCTTGTGGAGGGGTAGACCAGATTCAGATCAGCATGCCCCTCTCCCAACTAGGTAACAATAGGAAAGGAGGAATTAATATTTGTTTTTAAATCATTATTAATTTAATAAATCACCTATACAATCACTACACTCCTATACACACTATACATAGATGACGGGTGGGGGGGCTCTGTGAAGATTTTTCACACATGGCGGCTAAAGGCCTAAGGCCGGCCCTGTGTCCTAATACCCTAGTCATATCTCCTGCAAAGCCTCTCCAGTTGTAACTCAAGAAGCCCCTCCCAAGCCATCTCTATGCCACCCATTCATATCTCCAATAATTGTTTCAGCACACCTGCACCCATTCAGATTGACAGCATTTCCTCTCCAGTTATTTCTCCAGCACCCATTGTCTCCTATCCCCAGTCATGCATCATCTGCAGTCACATCTCAAGTGCCTTCTCCATCAATATTCTCTTGGGAAAACCCTCCACAGTCAGTATTTTATTTCCAACACCTCAGACATATCTCCTTCACCGTTCTTTATCCATATCTAATTCATTTCCCATGATAAGATAGAGAAAGAGGATTACATGCATATATGTTATCCATTGTGAATATTAGGACAAGTTGCAAAATGTTTACTGCATGGTATTCTTGTATACAATAAATATTTCTCTTTGTTTCAGAGAAAATTGTAAATATTGAAACAGTGCACAATCAACACATAGCTTTGGAGGTAATTATATATTAATTAATTAATTAATGTATTTTAGGTCTAATTTGTGCCCTCAGTAGATATGTATGAAAAGGTCTCTTGTTGGTGATCATACCACACAAAAGGTTACATTAAAATAATGTTTCACCCAGTGATCACAGGATCTTCTTAAACAAGTGCACATTGGAATGTCTTATAGCATTTCAAATTCATGTAGCATTGGAATATGGACACAATACTGGGGATCTCTTCTCAGATACTTCCCATTTTCTGGAAACCACAGTGGATCTGGAAACACCTACCCTATTTCAAATTTGTGTGCAATTGTGTTACTTTGTAGCTGTTCGTTTACATTTTTTTTTCATCTGAATAGGGATTTTGATTGTTCTCTGCATTTATTTATCTTTCTTTTAGAGCGAGTTAACAAGAATCAAAGAAGAAATCGAAGAGATAAAAAATAATTCAATTAAAACAAAAAAGCAGATCCAGAAAGATATGCTTCAACTATTTGGTATGGAGAAAATATTTAGAGTTGCTTCACCAAACCAGGAATTTTGCAGACTTGATATGAGATTTTTACATTTTATGCTGCGGATTTCCAATTCACTGTCAGTTCTTTAATTTAAAAAATTTAGTAAATATCTATTGGGACATCCACGTATTATTTCTATATCTATGTATATTACAAGAAATGAACAAGTCTTGCAGATTATGCTATCTTTTTCTGTGTTTGCTGTCTCTATTTTTATTTTAGAAGAAGGAAAACATCTCAACGAACATGTCAGCAGTGTCCATGTACCACTGGTGAAGCTGGAAGAATCAGAGTTTTCAGACATTTTTGCACGGGTTAGCTTCAAATCATGTAGCTGTCTTTTTAGAAAATATACTTATTACTTACATGATTTTTCAGTAAGAGCCAAATGTGGTCCAGGTGGAAAGAAACGTTTTTATTTCAACCAAATTAAAGGAACAGTGAAAGCATCATAACCACTACAAGCAACTGTAGTGGTTAAGGTGCCTTATTGTCATCTCACTGTAATTAGTTAAACCTTTTAAGAAGGGGTTGACCACATATTTGGAGTCCTCCTGGTGCCCACTGCCACCTCTTCTGTAGCTGGAAGCTTGGCCACTAGGCTAAGTCCAACACAGAGTCTAATTTAACTCAACTGCGATAATGATGGCGTGTTGGTGCCATGGCCCATTATTCTCCCTCTTGGGCAAAAATGCAGTTGGATGTTGACCCCAGGCACAGTTCACAACCTTGTGAGAATCTATGTTCGGGTCTCTCTCGAGAACATGATCTTATAACTGGAAGTGGGAAAGTCAGTGAGCAGCATTTGCCAGTTTTTGTTACAGCCTGGAGCTATGGGACCATCTTACTATACCAAAAGCCCAAGCATTGGTGTAGGCTGAGTCAAAGTTTTAACTGACCAGCTAAAGCCATCTGCACACTTGTGTATTCTTTCATTCTCTGTGGGTCATATCGCTTGTTTACTAAAACAAAAAATGAGGTATTACTCGTGTTTAGATTTTCCGAGAAGCTATATAAGTTATTATGCTCTTGGTAAGCTCTTCATTGTATTTTGAACCAATATCTCAATAAAAAAAGTAGTTATATAAAAAAAAAAAATTGGAAATTGCTTAAAAGTGGGTTTTTGCATTCTTATGGACCACAAGTTACAATACAGGTGTGTGAAAGACTGATATTCATACATCTATGTAACACTCCAGGCACCCAGACCACTTCTACCCATTGGAGTGGTCTGGGTGCCAACTCCCATCACCCTCAACCCTGCATGTATATTTATCACAGTTTTTCTAAACTGCAATAATTACCTTACAGGGTTAAATCCTCCTCTAGTGGGGGACTTCTGGCTTCTTAAAACACGAAAAGTGTTTTAAATGACGCTGGACTTCCTCACGCTATGCATGAGGACCTCCAACGTCACTTTAATCCCCATAGGAAAGCATTAAATAATGCTTTCCTATGGGGAGGTCTAATGCGTGCGCACGGCCATTTGCGCGCATGCACATTAGGTCTCCCCCGCCGGCGGGAGGAGTGTGGGCGAATCGGTGCTGGATTCAGGTAAGTCACTGAAGGGATTTTAAGCCCTTCAGCCACATGGGAGGGGGGTACTGCAACGGGTTTGTTTTCCTGGCACTGGAGAGTTCCTTTAATTTACTATTTATTTGAGAATTTGTGTAACAATGGAAAATAATTGTTTCATGTTCTTTCACAAAAGATTATTGAGCAACAAATGCAGTTTTTACAAAGAGAGAATAACTGGTTAAATAAAGAACTTCAGTCCAAATCTGATGCTATCCTGACGATTGAGAGACTAGGAATGAAAGTTCTGGAACATCTGACAAACAGAAAAGATGAGGTGAATGTTTTTTTTATCTAGTTATTTTTTTTCATGCCTGTGAATTTTAAATTTTTAAAAAAAGAAAATGATGTTTTGAAACCTTGTTGTGTAGTATGGAGGCTATGGAAGAAAAAGAAACAACAGGCTTGTTTAGACCCACAATTATATTCGAGGTATCGTCATTGGCTACTGGTGTGACTTAAGGACAAAGTCTCTGTTACGGATTTCTCATCAAACCTTTTGTCTCTTAAAGACAAAAATCAGGGTAGTTGTTGTCTTCTTGATGCATTATATTTTTTCCTTCCTTTTTAATAGGTTGTGAGAGTGAAAGAGCAGCTCAATTTCCTCAGGTTTTCCAATGAAGAGTTACAGATTCAAGCTAAAAATCTGCTTATTAGATTACAGGAGGCAAGTAACTACATGAATTTATTTTAATATTATCCAATGCATCCCAATTTGGTACGGTGGTATGCCCCTATCATAAAACCTCACAGTGGCTGCTATGTGGGAAGTGATGTACCTATGGTCCCCTGGGAAGTGCTGGAATCAGGGATGTATAACTTTTTAAATAGAGAAGGGTTTCACTTGGTGAATGTGAATATTTCAATAGTAGATTGGGATACTCCCAGCTGATCACATCACAAAAAGAAAAGTCAGGTTTTTAGGACAAATTAGTGATATAACTGCTTCTAAAGGAAAGAAGAGTCATGAACAATATGGTTTGGTCCAAGTGACCCTCTAAGGGCACAACAGTAAAGTTTGGAGCAGGTCTAAGTCCAGACATTCTAATTCCAGCTGGATGAGACTGGGGAAAACCATAGTGACTTTGTCGAGTCATTGCATGTGTGATACCAGAAGGTGTTTTAGTCAGAAGAAAATAGTGTTATATTCTGGATGTCATTCCATAAGTTTAGATCGTAAGGGCCTGTGGTTAATTTTCTTCTATTCTGCTATGGTTTTCCCTTGGTTTTAACAGGCTGAGAGTCTAGAAGAGCATATGAAGATCCTCAGACTTTCCATTGACAATTTGAAGAAACAAGTTAAAGAACATATCGCTAAATTAAAAGAGGCAAGTAGCACTGTGTTTTTCCCTTCACTTTGTTTAACCTTTTTTGTGAGCAAGGCTTTTTTAAGTTTCCATTTGTACTGAGATTTATTTTGCACATTTGCATCTTGTTCATTCATGCTCTCAGCATACATATTCCAATCAGTATCTCCTCATAGAAATGCATTCAATCAGTTCATCCTTATGGGGATCCTTCAACGCCTCTATGCAGATCGTGGAGATGCTGAACGCCAGTAGAGATATAACTAGAAAAGGCAGTTTTTACAGTGCGAACACTGCAAGAACAGGCTATGGACACCAAAACTACAACATAATGCTATAGAGGTTCTGGTGACTATAGTGTCCCTTTAAGTATTAAAAAAAGTGTGAGTGGGGCGTGGCTAGCCGAGCAAAGAAGAAGACGTGCTGGTGTGGAGCTCCTGCAGACCACACAGATATACAGATTAAAAAGCCATGGAGAATAACCCGAAAGACAGAAATATTAATACCAGAGTACTCCAGCACCCCCCAGGAGACAAATGGGAGGCAGAAATCGTAAGCTGACCCACTTGGGGAGCGCTAAGCAAGCAGACATCCGTGCGTCCTTCGAAAGGCCGCAGCGGCATGCACAGCCCAAGATGGCGCCCATGGGCCCACAAGACTCAAGCTCCGCGGAAGACTCGGCAGAGGATGACAGCAGTACACCAGCCTTGAACGGCGTGTACGGGAGTGAAGACTTCCCTGACGCCTCACCCTCCACCAAGGGGGATATTAAAAAACTATTGGTGGACTTAAAGGAGGTCTGGAAGGCCGACTGGCTGGCGTGCGCGCCGAAGTTGATAGTCTCACTGCAAGAATCTGTGCGGCTGAAAAGAAAGTGGGGAGGAGAGAGCAGGAGTTGCTGGAGACACAGGCCCAAATGAAGACAATTCTGCAGCCCATCCCATGTGTTCCCTATTAAGGGTTAATAAGTATGTCAGGGTGGATAGTTGTTAAAAAATAAGACTTGTTCTCTGCTAGATTGTTGTCATTGCTTTGTCACTTGATAATATAACCCTTTTTAAATTTGTATTATTTTTTTTATTTAAGTGTTCTTCTCCATTTTATTAGATTGCAAGTCAAGCAGATCAAGCTAAGATCCTCAGATTTTCTGACAATTTGCAGAAACAAGTTGACAAGCTTATGAATAAATTAAAGCAGGTGAGAAACAACATATTTTCCCCCAGTTTTAGTTTTGGGTGTGCAAGTGAGTACATAGAAGTGTGCAGTGCCACGATAGCAGCTGCAAATCACCTTTTGACATATTTAACATTGGTATGGCATATACAACATTTGCACATTTTTTAAAATGCAAGAAATAGTATGAAAGTAAATGATCTAAGTCAAGCATGTCTAGCTAGTGATCAGGATACATGCTTTGTACTTTCCATCCATTCTAAGCATGACAGGGTAGGAATGTGCTAGGGTAGTAGACTGTGAGAATATAAAATGAGGAACATGCTGTCATACATAAAAATAGTGTAACAGGGAAATAATACCTCTGATGGCCACCAATGATTAAAGCATAGAACACAGGAAAAAAACATACAGCATTTGCTCCATGTGAACCTGGAGGCGAAATAAAGTATGGAACCTAATGCTAAAGGCCCAGTGTAGAGCCAGAATAAGCCAAACACAGCCCTGGCCAATCAGCATCTCCTCATAGAAATGCATTGAATCAGTTTTGATGATCTCAGCCAAGGAGGCGAAGCTGGGTGGGGCAAGCCGCAACAAGACTGGCGCTGGAAATATGGTAGGGGAGCCGGTCACCTAAACATCAGTTTTACAACTATAGTGTCCGGAATACATGTATAAATGTATGTATTCCTGACACTATAGGGTTAAAGGTGGTGAGTAACTCACTGAATGTTGACTCATATAATTATACTTTTCAGGGGGATGCTGATGTGCATTCACACGGTAATACGATGTACCATTAGTTGACCGTTGGAGTAGAATGACTGTTATTATTGCTGCAGATTTCATATAACTGTAAGCTGGCTTGGCTTGTTAGAAGAAACTGCAACAAATAAGGATGCCTTTCTGAAGCAGACATTATATGCGATATCTGGGATCAGGGAAGGAATATTGGAATTTCATAAAGCCAAGTGGGTGATTAAGATTGCATATGGAAGGAGTTTATGATGGTTGGTGATTCATTGCTAGTTAGACTAATTTAAAGAGGAACTGTCAGCATATATTTCTCACTGGGGGAAGGGGCTAATTAAATTATGGTAGACGTGTTGGAGACAGGACAGACAATCAGATACGCAGTGGTATACTTACCATGTGTCTACTCCTTTTAATGCAGCTCAGTCAGAGTTAGTGCATTTGGAACTCATAAAGCAAATTCTGTAGAATAGGGCGGCGTGGACAGGTTTATTGTGCAGCATTTTCTGACGACACCATTTTATATTACTCTCAAGGGATATGTCACATCCTAGCCCCTAAATAAAAAAAGCATTTCATGCATGTCTGTTAAAAAATGACCTGCTAAGGTCTAGATCTAGCCTACTGGTTGTCATAAACTGCAACCTCCATACTGTTTATTATAAATTATTTGTAATTATCACATTGTGTACTTGAGGTTTTGTGGAAGTTGTGAAGTTATACATTTTGATTTTGTCCTTCTTGGTTAATTTTGGAGCGCTCTTTTTAAAAATGTCATATACCTAGAGTTGGTATGAATTTTTTATATACAATGCTGCTGACACACTCAATGTGTTATTCCCCTAACACATAAAACAGAATCAAAACAGAAAAATATATCGATAAGAGTGGAGCAGTATGAAATAGACGTTTAGGTGATAAACCCAAAACCAAATATTAATTGTAACGGTATTGCAGTAATACTTAATGGTCAGTAGATGGCTCCCAGTTAACACAGCTCACAGCACATGTAAAGGGAATACATAAAAACACATGATTGTGCAGATAGTTTCACAAAAAAAATTATTTCAACACCATCACTAATGTAGAGAGAGATTACCATAAAATTCCCCAAGTTGTAATAGTAAGGAGATCAGGTTTCTGTCATACAGTTGTAAAAACAAAATATGAGGTCGCGCCAAAAATTAGTAACAATGCGTACTTACATAGAAAGAGTGAAATAAAATAAAGTCCTGGTAAAATATGTGAAGTAAAAGTAGTCCAAGTTTGATTGTAAAGATGAGAGAAGTATGGTAGGCTTTATGAAATCCGAGGTAATTCGATGTCCGGATGACGCAGAAACATGCAAATAAAGGAAAAAATACCAATCGTGTAAAACTGTGGTGGAGATGGAGGTTTTCTTGCTCCTACACACCAATAGTAGAGCTATGGCCAGCTCAGGAATAAATCGCTTTCAGTGGCGTATGATCCCCCACTGGTAGGATATAGGTGTGGGTTAGTAGTGCAGGTCCTCAATATGGGGAGAGAGAAAAAAAAAAACAGAAACAAATAGTGCTCTCTGTTTAGAAAGGGACATTACTTTATGTTTAGTTAGTGCTCGAATTTGAGCTAGGATTTTGTTTGTAGACTTTCCTTTCTGTTTTGCTGAAGTTTTGAACAATGTTTTTGAGCATGGATTTTTGTGCACGATGTAAATAAACCACACCATTTTTGCATGAGAGACTGTTATTCTGTACCTGTTACCCTAGAGGACTGTGTTGCTTTGCCCTTAAAGGTCACAGTATTTAGCAGTCTTTGCAAAGATAGTTCATGTTGCTATAGGAGTATCAATTAGACTCATTTGCATACTCCTATCTGCTAATTATCTTTGACAGCATAGGGTAAAAGGCCACACACAAGGTTTTTTTCTAAGTGTGGACTTTTACCCTATGCCAGGGGTAGGCAACCTATGGCACGTGTGCCATGCACGGCACTCGAGGTGTCTTTGCATGGCACTCAAGGCTACTAGAGCCAAACAGGCTCTGGCCTATCAGGAGTCCCTCTAATAGGAAAAGGTGGTGAAGGACACTTAGCAGATAGAAGTATGCAAATGAAGTCTAATTGATACTCCTATCAGCAACATAAACTATCTTTGCAAAGACTGCTAAATACCCTGATCTAAGATGGTGAGGTCAGCATTACGTCCTGAGGAAGCCGGGCAGACCGGAGGAACGCGTTGACGTCATCAAGGGGGTGGAGACTACATATACCCGGAAGCATGAGGCTTGTACTACTCGGGCTGCACTGAAGCCAGACCATTACACTCCGGACACAACAGCCTTGCAGAGCCAGTGTCTCCAACTCCTTCACATATTATAAAGCTGGGCAGTGAGTAATGGCCTATGCCGAGCCTACTCACCACTTTCTCTTGTAAGAGACAGTCTGTTTATTGATTTTTTTTTTTTTTATTCTTTATTTTTGGTTTGACGAAGCAGATGGTAAACATGTTAGCGGTTACATTTATGTATGTGACAGCGCAGTGTCATACAATGGTTTACAGAATGCAGATGACAGTTGTTAGTTTAGGCATGTTATATACATCGTGTTTTCTTACTGATTTTTTTTTTTAACACAGAGTTTTTTAAATAAATTTGTTTATATTTTGCCAATGTCAGAGTTCCATCACTGTATGACAGATACCTGATCTCCTGACTATTAGAACTGGGGGTATTTTAAGGGAATCTCTCTTTACGTTAGTGATGGTGTGAAAGAAATTAATTTGTGAAACTATCTGCACAATCATGTGTTTTTATGTATTCCCTTTACATGTGCTGTGAGCTGTGTTAACTGGGAGCCATCTACTGACCATTGAGTATTACTGCAATACATTTACAATTAACTTTTGGTTGATCACCTAAAACATCTATTTCATACTGTTCCACTCTTATCTATATATTTTTCTGAGTTAAAGAACAGTTATGAAATGTGTTAAATGCACATATTATTAACCTGTGTAATCTTTTTGAGATATGTGAGCTGTTTGTATCCCCTCGAACTGCCACATTACCTTACTAGACTCTGCTTGTTGTGCTAATTGCCTAGTAATATTACCTGCTCCTCTTGTTCACCAAACTAGTAAAACCTTTTCTCTCTTATACTTCCTATAGATCTTTGAAACCATAATAAAAAAAGAAAATGAATCTAAAATATTGTGTGAACATCTACAGTTATCATTAACCAACCTAGTTAAAGATGTTAAAGATAGGCTTACCAATAAAGATCCTTCATGCCTGGAGATCGGTGAAAATGAGGAGACTACCAAAGCTTTATTGGAACCTGAATGGAAGACTTTACAACCTATTGGTAAACTGTACATGCAGTGTAATTACAACGTACTGGTCTAATGGTTCTATGAACCAATGTCTGTGTTTCGCTACTTTTTATTTACTCAAAGTAACATTTTCAAGTTCTCTTTTTAGGATTCAATGGAAAATGGAACAAAATATACTGTTGTGCCCAGTTTTTCAGAAACAAAAACAATAAAATAAGATTAAAAACAAACAAACTAATTGTTTAAATGGGCTCTCTCATTCTTCTTTTCTGTCTCTCTTCTAGTATGTTCTTCTTTTCTTCCTTTCTCTCCTCTTTCTTAAAACACATAAGGCAAATTCGGGACTACTTTGCCTTATGTATTCCTTTTTTGCTTGCCAAAGAGGAGATTAAGGCATGATGCCTGATCCTGATGAACGTCCCTGCTGGGACTGAAACGTTGATCTTATTTTTAATGGATTACTAATAAACTGAATGTTTTAACCTTCAAAAGTCCGAGAGTGCTGATCACTATTTATACATATTTGAATTTTCCTGGATTTCAAGCACCCGGCAAACAGTCTTCTAAAGCATGAGTGCAAGGACTTTCTACATTTTGTTTTATATATATATATATATACAGAAAGTGCGGATAATTTGAATTGCAAGCACTATATTTAACCCTGTAACTTTTCAAGACACCATAAAACCTGTACATGGGGGGTACTCTTTTACTCGGGAGACGTCGCTGAACACAAATATTAGTGTTTCAAAATGGTAACTTGTATTACGACAATTATATTTTTAGTAAAAGTGAAGTTTTTTGCATTTTTCACACACGAACAGCACTTTTACTGACGATATTTTTGTAATATGTTTTACTGTTTTAAAACACTTATTTTTGTGTTCAGTGACGTCTCCCAAGTATAACAGTACCCCCCATGTACAGTTTTTATGGTGTTTTGGAAAGTTAGAGAGTCAAATATAAGGCTTGCATTTCATTTTTTTCACATTGAAATTTGCCAGATTGGTTATGTTGCCTTTTGAGGCAAGTGTTTGTGACTAAGTGGCTACTACAAAAGACTGGACATACCCCACTTGCAATACCTTGGGTAGTCTACTTTTGCAAATGGTATGCCATCATGGGGGGTAAATCTCATTCCCGGGCTACCACACGGTCTGAAAGGTAACATTACTAATCTGGCAAATTTCAATGTGAAAAAACTGAGAAATGGAATGTGCTATATTTGACCCTGTAACTTTCCAAAACAGTGTAAAAACTGTTAATGTGGGCTACTGTTGTACTCGTGAGACTGATTCCATATACCTTATATACTCAAGTATAAGTCGAACGAATTAAATTTTTTAGCAATATAAGCCGAGGCACCTAACTTTACCACAAAAAAATGGGAAAACTTATTGACTCGAGTACAAGCCTAGGGTGGGAAATGTATCAGCTATTGGTAAATTTCTAAATAAAAATAGATACCAATAAAATTACATTAATTGAGGCATCAGTAGGTTAAATGTTTTTGAATATTTATTTACAGTGTGTGTATATAATGAATGCAGAGTGTGTGTATTTGTGTAGTGTGTGTAAATAATGAATGCAGAGTGTGTGTGTTTGTGTGAATGTAGTGTGTGTGTGTATATAATGAATGGAGTGTGTGTGTTTGTGTAGTGTGTATATAATGAATGTAGTGTGTGTGTATTTAATGAATGCAGAGTGTGTGTGTGTGTTTGTGTAGTGTGTGTATATAATGAATGCAGTGTGTGTTTGTGTAGTGTGTGTGTATATAATGAATGCAGAGTGTGTGTTTGTGTAGTGTGTGTGTGTATATAATGAATGCAGAGTGTGTGTGTGTGTGTGTAGTGTGTGTATATAATGAAAGCAGAGTGTGTGTAGTGTGTGTATATATTGAATGCAGAGTGTGTGTTTGTGTAGAGTGTATATAATGAATGCAGAATGTGTGTGTATATAATGAATGCAGTGTGTGTGTATATAATGCAGAGTGTGTGTTTGTGTAGTGTGTGTAAACTGGGTGGGAAGAAGGCATTTTTATTATTGTAATATTTTTATTTATTTAAATATTTAATTTTGTAACTTTTTTTTTTTTAGTCCCCCCTGACTGCTTCATACTTGGCCAAGGAGGGGGGAAATGTCAATCCCTGGTGATCCGGTGGCATTGGCTGTGCAGTGGGGGCCCGCAGAAGCTTCTGCAGGCTCCCTCTAGGACCGCCGGGCTTGTTGTGTGCCCGGCGGTCCTGGTCTGCATTCGTTGCCATAATACAGACCCTCGCTCGAATATAAGCCGAGGGGGCCTTTTTCAGCATAAAAAATGTGCTGAAAAGCTTGGCTTATATTCGAGTATATATACGGTATGTGCTTTTTTTTTTGCAGTAAAAGCTAACAGTATTCATAGGCGTGCGCAGCCTATTGCATTAGGGTGTGCACCCTAAAGCACAAACACACGCCACGCGCGTGTGTGTGTATATATCTATCTATATATATATACACACACACACTGCTGTGTGTGCTGTTATTGTGATGTGTGTGTGAGGGTGCGTGTTTGTGACTGTGCTGTTTGTGTGTGTATGTTTGTCCTGTGAGGGTGCTGTTTGTGAGGGTGCTGTTAGTGTGCTGTGTGTGAGGGTGTTGTGTTTTTTTTAAAGGTGCTGTGTGTGTTTGTGAGGGTGCGGTTAGTGTACTGTGTGTGTGTGAGCTGTATGTGTGTAGGTGCTGTATGTGTGTGTGCTGTATGTTTGGAGGGATTTGGCACATTAGTAAATCCTTGCTGCCATGTGCCATCATCCCTGGTGTCGCGGAGTGAATCCTGAAGACACCTGGATGAGATCTGAGCTGCTACAGCAACGCTTCCCCTGTGATATCGGTGAGGAACCTGGCGAGGTTCAGAGCTGCCTGGGGCCTCTACCTCCCCTCCGGCGCTGCTGTGGGCCGGTGAGGTAGATCTTTGGTCTCCCCGCCGGCCCATGGAGGCTTAGAGCAGAGCCGGCACTCAGATAGCGCCAGCTCTCCGTGTGTGTGTGTGTGTGTGTATATATATATATATATATATATATATATATATACGTACACACACACACACACACACTCACAGACACACACACACACATACATACTCACAGACATACACTCACACACACATACATACTCACAGACACACACTCACAGACACACACACACACATACTCACAGACACACACACTGACACACACACACTCACAGACACACACATACTCACAGACACACACTCACAGACACACACACTGACACACACATACTCAGACACACACACACACACTCACACACACACATACTCACACACACACACACAAATTATTATATTTTAATTTTAAAAAACAATGTCCACCCAGCCTCCTACCTGGAGTGCTGGTGGACTTTTCCCTGGGGTCCAGTGGGGGCGGGCGCCTTTCTCCAGTTCAGCCGCGGCGAGGGAGCTCTCTGCTCTCTGCTCCCTCTCGCCGCGCGGGCTGTCTGCTGCAGCTGGGAGCCGGAATATGACGTCATATTCCGGCTCCCGGCATCAGCGCGCGGCGAGAGGGAGCAGACAGCAGAGAGCTCCCTCGCCGCGGCTGAACTGCAGGGTGGGGGGGGGGGAATCATCACCTCTTGCCCTCCAATGACAGGGGCAAGAGGTGAAACAGGGGGCACTGAGTGCCTGCAGGAACGCTGTTCCTGCAGGACTCAAACCATAGGCGTGCCACGGGGATTAGGGTGTGCCCAGGCACACCCGGCACACCCCGTGCGCACGCCTATGACAGTATTATGACATTTACAGCTAATTACTGTTGAACAGACATATAGCGCAAATTCCAGTTTGTGTTTACATTTTGTTTTGATCAGAACGTGTACTATTGACTCCGTCCTGAAGGGGTTAAAAGTACAAAAATTAGTGAACAACAGCACCATGACCTTTTTAACATTTAACATTCCTATCTGAACGAACTCCCAAGATTTAAGTTGGCCGCATTCCCTGTTGTATGTCTAATTCTGATATTGCATTAATATGTGTACAGAAAATACAAATGCCAGGATTTGAAATTGGAGTACAATGTTTTACGGTTGATCCATTTATTTCCCAAAGAATGTCTGGGAATAGTAATTCTTTTAAATATGTGGTACAGCCATGATGATTTCTTTGGACTACAGTGTAAATGCAAATACTGGTTGTGCTATGAGACCACAGTATTTGCAGCTGTCCTGAGCAGTCCATTTCCTGCTGAAAAAAAAAAAACCTGAAGGATGAGCTCCATTTCATTTTCATATTTTACTGTTTGGTATGCAAAAGCTGATCAGCTCACAGCATGCATGTTATACTTGACTAGATAAAATACCTTGTTTGCATGCATGGTGTATCACAGACATCTCTTTTATATTTGTTTTGTTTTCTCTTAATGTGTCTGATGATTAAAAAGAAGACACTGCTGCTCTGAACAAAATTACTAAAGAGGTGGAAGATTGCATAGATAACATCATATTCCAGGGAAAAAAAATTATTTCCATTCAAAAAGAAGAACGAGCCAAACAAAAAGATAGTCATCATGAACAGTATAATGAGGTGAAAGAACCCGCTAAGGTAAAAGAAAAATATATCTGATTAAAAATATATCTGATTAATGTTTTTAACATTTGTGTCCATAGAGGGAATATAGATAAATAGAAGTGATTGTTAATCTCTAAAGATTGGGATTATATGTTATATTATCACCAAAATATTCTAACTTTCGTTGGCTTACACATTACTAAATCCTTTTAGAAGTTGGGTTTCCCACGTGGCAATAAAGGAACCTGAATATGTGAATGTAGACCCAAATTGGAACCTGCAACACTGTGGTGAACAGAATGGTTAGTCATTGTTAAGCTAGTTGAGATGTTCCATCAACCTTTAAATATGTGCCAGGGAATATATTCTTTAAAGTTGTCCGCTGGAGGTCACCCCTTGTTTTGTTTAATGCACATTAAGTGTATGGAAAGCAAGGCTGAGAGCACTTTAGATTTTTTAGCACACAGCATTCTGGTGACTTGGAATTGGAGAATGAAGAGCAGTGTAGCAGAAATGGGAGAAATCTTCATACACTGGATTGGGTGATTTATTTTTTACCTACTCGGCTATCTTCAGGCTACAGTTTGCAAGCTGGTTCTCAAGTCACCAGAACTCACTGTTTAATGAATAAAACGCAATATTCTTATGTTATTGAAATGCATTTCTTGTAGGTTGAAAAGGAAACACATGTACTGACAAATATACATGATTCTGCAGAAGATGAAGTGTAAGTAAATGCATTTCTTGTGAAGATCATTTTAGGTTTTATCCCTGTTTTGCTCACCACATCTGATATGTGGAGAATTGTTAAAGGATCACTATAGGGTCAGGAACACAAACATGTATTCCTGACCCTATAGTGTTAAAAACTCCATCTAGCCCCCCTGGGCCCCTCATGCCTCCATAAATATAGCAAAACCATACTGTATTCAAGCTTTAAGCTGTAACTCTGCATGCTGTTTGCCTAAAAAAAACATACAAAAAAAAAAAAACAAGCTGTCTGCTGAAATCATGAAAAGTGAAAAATAAATACAAATACAAAAAATGCAATATAACATATGCTCCCCAGTGGGTAAATATATATAAAATAAAAATTACCCTTTATTAGATTGTAAGAAGATCCCTCTAATCTTCTTGATCAAATTCAAACAAAAGATTGTTTTGTTTGAATCATCAGAAGTGGAAGCGTGATCCAATCACAGTGCTTCCCCATAGGATTGGCTGAGACTGACAAGGAGGCAGATCACTCATCTGAGGAGTGGCCAGTGAAGTTATCACTAGGCTGTAATGTAAACACTGCATTTTCTCTGAAAAGACAGGGCTTACAGCAAAAAGCCTGAAGGTAATGATTCTATTCACCAGAACAAATTCAATAAGCTGTAGTTGTTCTGGTGACTATAGTGTCCCTTTAAGGAAATTGTGTATTTTTAGACCAGTCTAGCTAAGCTAGAAAATTTTCATATTTGGAGAACTTTTCTAGTTTGACCTAATTTTTGCTATTCATTTCTCCACTATCCTGTCAGGGTTAATTACTAAAAAGAGAGAATTCAAAACGATTTATAAATTTAAGATCAAAATATGCGAACTGGGAACATTTTCTAAGTTAGCTATGTTGGCAGCTAACCTGGTCTTAAATTTGAAATCCACTCTGAATTTTCACGTTAGTAATAACCTTGCCAGATTAATGGCAATTTTTTAAAAATATTTTTTTTGTTTATTTGTGTATTTAAGTCTTTTTTGTGGCATTGGTCATGATTTGAATTGTTAGCACAGATGACCCATGTCTGCACTGGAATTATTTTTAGCCTTTTATGATGACTTTACATTTTATTACTGTAAATGTTTTAGTATTTTGAATGAACGCATATTGTATTGAATTAATGAATCAGCACTTTTTTGACTAAATTCTTAAATGTCAATTTCTCGTTCACTGAAATGTACTGTCTAATGCATGTTTTCGCAGCTAGGTTTATAATACCATCTTGCTGCCATAAGCCTATATGAAAGCCTGCAATAGCTGTAAATTAAAATTTGCAATGAAGTTCCATTTTGGAAGAGACACAATAATGCCAATAGCTGCTTGTAGTGATTATGGTGCTATGATTCTTTAGATGCCTTCCTAACCTCCCTTTTAGAGCAATTTGTCCAAAACCAGTCCCTCTGCTGTCCGCTCTGCAACACCCCAAAGAAGTCCTACTTTGAATGGCAGTGATATGGGATGAGTGCTGGGGGCAGGTTAGCTCAAAACTCTACAATAAGCGGTGCTTGTTATGGTGCTTTGAAAGCTCATTTAAGTATGGAACTTGCAAGTTCTGCAACAACCTTTTCTATATTGTGTTTCCAGTTGTTCAAAATCATCATCATCTGACACTGAGCCCAGTCCAATCATGTCTGCTTCAAGGAATACATCACCCGGAAACAAGTTGCAACCAAGTGCCAGAGTATTTCCAAGGATCAGCTTGTCTTCTCCCTCCTTCCAAACTCCCCGAAGAGTAACTTTTATGCTTGAGTCAGAAGAAGGTATTTTGCTTTTTTCCCTTGCATGTGTACATTTTATGAGTTGTCATTGTTTATTAAATGTGTGAATGATGCATGTAATTCTAAAGGAAGCGAGTCCTTCCTGTTCTGCAGTGATTATGTTCTCTGTGCTCATTGCTTCAGTCTGGTGGTTCTTTGTAGGCCAAACTATGAGACATTTGTAAGAGGAGTTGGAGACTTAGATGCCATGCCATGCACCCACTATGTGTGCAGACTCCTTGCAAGTCACATTGATGTCCGAATACAGGTGATGCATTTGGCACAGGGCTTTCCTGTAACAGTTTCTGTAAACGCTTGAAGTACTCTGCAGTAGAGTGAATGTGGAGGAGTATTTTGCACCCTAATTTGTGCCCTATGAACTAGTTATTTGGACCTTGCCTTTGGAATACTGTTTCTGTTTTCTTTACTAAAGTGCAAATTGGTTTTCACATGCAGGAAACTCAAGTTTGCTGATGTCTGAACGAAAGCATAAACATGCAGTAGAGACAGAAAGTCAGTCCAGCAAAGATTTAAACTTGTATGGTTTCATAAAATCTAACCGTAAGAGAACAAGGATCTGGAAAGGAACACCAAAGGTACAAAAACACTTTAGAATTTTTTTTATTGGGACAAGGAGGGAGCAATAAAAAGCAGTAAGTATTTTATTGTTTTTCTTATTGTTTTGTCATTATACTTGCTAATGGTATTATTTGATTATTACCATTTACATATAGGTAAGTATAAAACAACTCAAAGTGAATATGAATGTAGTTTAGAGGAAATTTAACTGAATTTGTTTATTAGCAGTTGAGTCACAAAAATAGTAGAGAAATCTGTGTGGCTTTTTATAAACTTGAGGCTACACTCATGTTAGGTTTAGTGTCTTTCTGACCATTCCTGGTAATGTTGGTGCAATAATTGGAGTAGACAATTTAAAGGGACTCTGTGGTCACTCAAGCTTTTTGCAATAAACACTGTCTTTTCAGAGCCTAGGGATACCTCTACTGGCCACTCCTCAGATGGTTCCTAGAGGTGCTTCCAGGTGCAGTGACAGTCAATATCTCCACCCTCTGCATGAAGACATTGAACTTTCCTCATAGAGATTCAATGAGGAGATGCTGATTGGCCAGGGCTGTGTTTGGCTTGTGCTGGCTCTGCTTCTGATATGCCTCCTTGGCAATCTGCGAAAGCATTGTGATTGGCTGAGAGATCATTACTTCTGATGATGTCAGCCAAGGATGCAGATCAGGGGAAGAGCCAGCACCAGCAGACTAAAATAAAGGTATACTTTATTTAGAGGGTCGATGGGGGGGCTAGGTAGTGTTTTTAACACTATAGGGTCAGAAATACAGGTTTGTGTTCCTGACCCTATAGTCTTCCTTTAAGCAGCACAATAAAGTTAACTGGGTAACAATCATGATGGATAGACAACATAGTAATGGTAGATATTATTTATATATATATATATTATAAAATGCTTCAAGGACTATTGGATAGTTTGTATAAAGAGGAAGAATCTCCTTAGAATGGTTAGTAATGGCTTGTCAAACTTTCAGTAGACTTACCAGGTTACCTTCAATAATGCAATATGTGAGAAGGTCACTTAGTGATGACATAACAAGCACCTCTAGTGGCTATCTGTGTGGCTGTCATTAGAGGTGTTACCAGGTAGTAATATAAACCCTCTCTGAAAAGGCAGTGTTTGTATTTAAAATCCTACAGTGGCAGGCTATAGACACCAAAACCACTACATTATGCTCTGTCTTTTTAAGTACTAATCTAAGTAACCAGAAATGTCTTTTTTGATTTTTCACTAAAAATTAAAACTATAGCCCATCTGGTCCCAGCAACCTCATTTGTTTAACCTCTTAAGGACACATGACATGTGTGACATGTCATGATTCCCTTTTATTCCAGAAGTTTGGTCCTTAAGGGGTTAAGTAACGTTTTATTGCAAGCTTGTGGACAGGACTTCTGGTACTTCATGACACTATCTAAATAAATAATCATAACAGCAATAAAATACCATATACTAGTTCTCCCATTATATTATGTGAGAGCACCAAGCAAAGGAAGGGTTTCGCATTACACAATGCTTTTATTTCATTAAGTTAAACCACTTAATACCTAGATCAAGAGTCTAAAACCGATTAATTTGATTTATGCACATATGTGTTTCAGGTGGTACAAACAAATCAAATGCCTTTTAGTCTGTACAAATTGACATGTGCGAGACTTACCAGTGGAATCTTATTTAACGGGACACTATAGTCATTATAACCACTTTGTCTCTTTGAATTGGTTATAGTGCCTGGAGTGGCCTGGCACTGTCCCTCCATTCAGTGTTGCACCATGTTCATGCAGTATGCCACAAAATAAGACTCCCTGGCCACGCACAGTCCGGCCCCTTCTGTATGTGTAGCTAAGGCAGAGATTACACACTTCCTTGTTGTCATACCCATTCATACCGTCAGTTGGAGCTCTGACAGGCTAAAAGCAGTCAGCTGACACACTCAGCCAATCACAGCTGCCCATTGCCTCTCAGGGTAATACTTCCTTATTAGCCAAAGCAGCACAGAGGGGATAGACTGCCGTGGACTCTTGTTTAGCATTAAAACATTACAACATTAAAAACTGTTTAATGCTGAAAGAAATGATGGTACCAGGGGACTCCAGACACTATAACCAGTTTTTTTTTTTTTTAATTCTTTATTTATGTGAGCTTGGTTTGGCACGTTAACAGCATCATACATAAACAGTGGTATGCTAATTTAAAGCAGTACAATAAAATAGTGTTAACATTGATATTTCAAGGTTGTAAGCACATTTTCATATATCCATCATGTTGGGTGGCATACCTGGGGTCTGCTGGGTTGTGTAGGTTCATTATTGTGGGCGTTATACCCCTGGTGTACTACAAGTGTGGGAGTGTGTGGGTGCTCCCTGGTTCGGGTTGCGGTGTGTCAGTGTGTGTGGAGCATGTATATGATTGTTGCAAGCGGTTTTAGGTTTGTGGGTCTGGATGCCTGTGTGTACTCGCCTGCGGAGCTCTTTCTAGTACCAGGGTGGTTGGAATAACATGTGTGTAAGGCGCTCCGGTTTGAGCTGTACCCTGTGTGGCATCTCATCTAGCCCCCTATCCCTGGGGGTGTTGTGGGGTGGGCGGAGTGGCGCTAGTCGTGGTGAGCGCCTGTATACTATCGTGCGTGAGGTGTTGTTTGCCTTTCCTCTGGGGGTAGGGGCCCCGTATTTGCGGTTGCGTTAAGGTCAAAAAGGACGGACCCAAGTGGGGCAGTGAAGGAAAAAAATAAAATAAGAAAATAAAAATATAAAAAATGAAAAAAAAAAAAATATAAAGTAAACAGTGGAGTTAGAAGTCTTTGAAGTTATCGCTCTGTGTCAAGAGATGTCTGGGACTTCCGTTTGACGGTTTCGGCCATGTCTTGCATATTGTCCCCGTGCCCAGTCAAGTGTCCAGAGTCTGTAGATCTCGTGTTGGCTGTCCAGGAGTAAGGCAGTCCTCTGGGTCCCCGCTCTCTGGTCGACCTGCAGTCGTGGAGGTAAGATGTGGGGGTTGTAGTCCCAGTGTCTTCAGGAAAGTGGGGGCCCCAGTTGGGGATGTGAGGTGGTGTGCAGTTCCATTGTGGTGAACGAGCAGGGCACCAGTGTTCCCCCATCTGTAGGTAATGCCTGCTTTGCGCAGCGCGGTGGTCACGGGTCCAAAGGTCTTCCGCTTTAACAATGTGGCTCTGGTGACATCCTGGAAGAAAGAGAGCTGAGTGCCTTCAAATACCAGCGGCGTTTTGCCTTTAATGGCGGTCATTATTTGTATCTTGTCAGGTACCGATGCTAGACGCAGAATGACGTCCCTGGGCATGCTGGATGGTAAGTGTGTGGAGCTTGTCACTCTGTATATCCCGTCGATTGATATTTTCTTGGCGGATGCCTGGGGTAGCAGTGTTGTGAGCAGTCTCCGCGTATAATGCGGTAGCTCCTCAATCGTTACTGTGGTGGGGACACCTCTGATTTTGATATTCTTCCGTCGTTGTTTGTCCTCCAGGGACATGATTTGACCTGCTAGTACGTTTTGCTCTGCTTGGAGTCGGTTGACTGAGTCCATGAGGGTGGACACTGTGCCCTGAATGTTGGTGATGTCTACTTCTGCAGTTCCAACCCTCTCCTGCACACTTTGAATATCAGCCTTGACCTTTGCGACGTCTGCCGCTAGCAGGTTTTGTATGTTGGTCAGGAGGGCTTTTAGGTCCCCTTTAGTAGCGGGGGCTGAATCATCCCGGTGTTCCGGTGTTAGTGAGTGTCCCGTCGGGGAGGCCGCATCTCGTCCGGCTCTCCCCCGTCAGGTTCGGGTGCTCGGTCCGCAGAGAGTCGTTGCGCGGCCTGTACTGGCTCCGTTTGTGCAGGCCTGAGCCACATCTCCCCTATGTCTCTGCCTTGTATGTTGGGACCAGCTGTGGTTTTGTGAGAGCGGCGACCCATGACTGTGGCGCCTGTGTCCCGACTGGATGGGTAGTCTTCCCAGAGGCTGCCGCCGAGGTAGGCCTCTAGGTCTTGGATTGGAGTTGCACGGTAAGCCGCAGGTTTGCGCTTCTGCCTGGTCTGCTTGGGTGCCTGGAAAAAAGGCATCGATCGGTGCGGTACTTAGTGCCTGTCAGTACTGGGTACTTGTTGGGGCACGATAAAGCTTCGTTTGGCGGGTATTAGGCCGATTCTCTCCGGGTTCGGGAGAGCAGCTTTAGATGGCGTCTTAACAGGATGGCTGCCAGGCTCCGCCCCCACTATAACCAGTTTAATGAGATGAAGCAGATACAGTGCCTACGGTGTCCCTTTGATGAATAAGTCTCCACAGGTAAACCCCAGATGCATCGATTCATTAGAGCACAGATTAAAGGCATTTAATGCATTCATACCAACTGAAACACATTTGTGCACAAATCTACCGTTAAAACCATACATACTACCTATTTACCCTTTTATGGTAAAGCTAGTATTCAGACTTTTTTCATTTAGTGATAGTGATTTAAAGAAAAGTAAGAGTAGCATGAAACAATAAATAGGTACTTAATAATATCGAAAATAAGTGAAACACTGCACACAGACCTCTAAAACATTTACTGAATTTTATAAGATATCTCTATAGGCAAAGAATTTGTTTCCTACTGTAAAGAATATTTTCCTTCAGATACAGCTTTAAAGCTTGCTATAGATAAACCCCGTATCTCTATGATCTATTACAGTTCCTTATGGTGAAACACCCAAGAAATAAAGCCAGTGCAGAGTATGTCTTGGATGGAACGTTGCAGTCCTCTGGTCAATCTACACAGTCCTTGTTAGTCACCCCGCCAAAGCGAGATAATGTGATTGTGATAGATAGTGAAGAGATCGACGAGAATGATACACAGGTATAGCTTGCTTTGGACAATCAACCAATATTGGGTGAAATATAAGGTAAACATAGAATACCTGGCATTCATTGTGTGTTTTTTTTCTTTTCATTCACAGGAGTCTGAGGAATATGACACAGAAGTTGACATCGACACAGATCCTTTTAATGACAGTGAGGACAGTGATAAGGGGAATGGCAGTGGTGATGACACAAATGAAGGTGGTGATGCTATGGTAATTGTCTATGTCTTTGACCAAAATGTAGTAGGTGCTTATTTACTAAACAAGGAACTGGGGAGAATTCACAATGAAATGTCAAAGAATAGCTGAGCTGGTAATATAGGTGAGTTAGTGATTTTTTCCCCTGCTATTTTGACCTTAGAGTTGCAACTCCCTTAAAAGAAAACTGTCCGGTTATTACTAAAGTAAGAATTGTCGAAATTCAAAGTGAATTTAAAATTTTAGACCAAAATACCTCAGCAGGAAGTATGTAACATAGCTCCTATACTCAGGCTGAGTACCTCTGTAAGGTCATCTTGGTCGCTGCCACCAGGACTCTCGAGCGCTACAGACCTAGTCGGCGAATCAAGACTGTGGTGTCTGGGGACTTCTGTCTTTCCAGACAGGTAGCATCCTCTCTGCCTGCGCTTCCTCTGTTCCCTCCCAAACAGTTATCAATCTATCCTCCTGTGCCCTCTTGGCCCAGGGAGGTCTCGACCCCTACGCCTGTGCCTCCTTGTTCTAGGCAGCCATTGATCCCTATGCGTATGACCCTTTGACTCCTTGTCCCAGGCAGGTATCGACCCCTCTGCCTGTATCCTTTGTCCCAAGCAGATATTAATCCATGTGTCTGTGACTCCTTTTCCTAGGCAGGTATCATCCCCTCTGCCTCAACTACCTCCAATTTCTGCCTTTACAAGGACACTTGAGGCTCTCAGGCCCAGTTCTTTCTGAACAGGTCCACAGAACCAGTCAGCAAACAGGTCCAAAAACTCTGCTACTGGAGTCCCTGAAGAAACCAAGCAGGACACAGTTCCCAATAGAATTTACATGGAATACTTGATTTACACTCAGGATTAGCCACGTTATAGTTAGACTTATGCGACACATTCGATCCAATACATAAAATAATTAAATCACTGAAGTGGTCATGGTGCCTGGAATAATCCATTAAAAATGTTTTAAAGATTATGCAGTATTGCTTATTTTGCAATATTAGCATAGAAAAAAAGATTTTTTTGGCACTTCTGCTGCATATAATATTTATAACATTTTTGTAATAAATCTAAAGGCATTTTTAGAATTGCAGCTTCTAAAGAATGCTGCCAGATTATAAAAATAATGTCTTCATATGGACATATTGCCCACATATAGCAAGTACACATTGCATCCTGCTCATGTGTATTAAACGTTAAGCTCTGTTTGTTTATAGGTTATTTGTGTTTTTTAAGGGTGCTTATAGTACAAACCACACTACAGAGGCAGAGGAAAGGTCACCTACAGACAGTGGATATGAGAGAGCTACTGATGGTGGTATGTACATAGACTATGTTAACTTTTTTTCTGCTGCCCCGGTAATCTTACATGTTGCTTTTCTCTATTTATAGATTTGTTTTACTATTATTTATATTGATTTTATTGTGAATCATAAAACCTTTTGGATTTGTAAAATATTTAGATTTCAGAGATATTTTATATACATTCTTTGAATACAAGTAATGTAGGCATAATGTGAAAAATCTGTTTACAAGTCTCGTACTTTCATGTAGACCAAACTGGAGCTAATGGATCCACTCAAGAGGAGCATTTATCCAATTTTGCTCAACTAACACCTATTCACCCTCAATCACTTCAGAGACCGCTTGAAGCTTTCCATACTTCTTCAGAGGACTACAATGCACCAGAAGAGGTAGAAATATAAATTATTTCTTATTCCTATGCAGGAGTACCAAACTTTAATCTGTGGATTCTTTGCATATAAGCAGGCTTGCTCTGAATATGGAGGGGAGGTATTTGAACACACTGCAAGTCTATTTTGCAGGCTGCAACAGCAGTCTGCTGTGCCCTATCTCATACAAACATCTTGGTTTTGGGCATTAACTATATGTTGGTATTATGTAATGTAAAACATTATTTTTGCCTTTTGGTGACATTTAAAAAAATGTTTCCACAAAAATTGCAGTTGGGTTAGGTACAAATACAAATAAGCAGGATACTTACCATTTAAAAAATATATATTTTTGTCAAACCTACTCCATCAATAGCATCAGCAAACATAATTAGGACATGTAATGGTAAACATTATTATGGCAATCCAAGAAACAGCACAATCGGCAGAATCAGATTAATTAAGTCATTAAGGAGAAATATTCCTTCTCGGGTCTGAAATTACAGTGTGCCAGAATACCATTATAAAGTAGCAGAATCATGGTGTATGGCTGAGAAAACAAACATAATAAACTTTTGCCTTTTATGAGCTATGAAAGAATTGCTTATGGCATGACTGTCATAAGCAATAGACTATAGATTGCTAGGTTGGTTCATCCAACTCCCAGGGATGGACAAAATTTTGCACGGCTGGGTAGGGCTGGATGCCAGGTCGGGATGCCCCTCTGGCCCCAGGCCCATAGGAAAGCCCACATCATGAGTGCTGCAGTAAGCCAAGTCTGTTCCTCTCCGGGGAGGACGGAGAAGTGATGTAGCAAGCACCGCTCTTCGCAAGTGACTCTCCGTCTGTGGTGCGCCAGCCTCAGTTGTCTCAGCCCAGACTGGCGAACAACAAATCGATTTCAATCGCGTGTCACGGGTGGCGGTCCGGTGTCCGGGACCCAGACACTGTCCGGGCGGCGGTGCGAGGACCGGGACCCAGTATGCCTGATAATAAGTGGGAGTCTTCACCGTGGTAATGGACTATCAGGGCCTGGTGCAGGGTAACCACATGTCCTCTGGCGTTGAGCACCAGCGTTTGCGCGGCCAAATACCAGAACCCTGATGCAGTTACAGCGGATCCCAGGAACTAGGAGCTTGATATGCAGACCTCCCAGGAACTGGATAGGGGGGCTCTGCAGCAGACATGTATCCAGTACAGAAACAAGGCAAGGCTAGGATAGTCACCAAACATGAAAACAAGACAGAACTAATAGAACCCAGAACCAGAGCAGGACAGAAAGCAGAACCCAGAACATGTACACAAGACATGAGGAAAACAAGAACAGGACAGGACTGTACATGAACTGGGATTACAAAATAAAACAAAACGAGATACAAGGTAAAACAAGAGGAGAAATAACTAAGCACTATATATGAAAAGTATGGGGATTTAGTTACATTATATGATCATACATTGCATAAGCCAGCCACAATGCCAATGTACCCCATATTCGGCAGGTCCTACACTGCCTAATGTTCGCTAAAAGAACCATACTAAACCACAATAGCACTTACCTGCAAGAAAGGGCAGAGACTTGAAACACTGCTGCAGGTTCAGACTGAAACAAAAGGAAAATGGAAAACAAACGGGTGTGGCAACTTAAAACAAACATATAAATTAATCCAGGAGACTGGGAATTCCAGGGACGGAATAATGGAATGAATCCAGAAAACCCAGCATAAGGAAAACCAGACATGGAATAGAAAACCAAAAAACCAAGAAAAACTAAACAAGAATTGTAAAAAGAGTACTGGATACCAGAAGCCAAATCCAGACATCTCCGCAGAACATGGCATGATGTGACATCGCGTCATAGTAGAGTCGCTTTTAGGATGCCTTGCCACTCCCGGCTGCTTCTTGCTGCGGTCAGCAGGTCTCATCTTAGGGTTGGGAGGTGGGTAGCGTAGGCTTATCTTCAGCCAAAAGCGCTGGAATATTTCATCGAGCCACGTCAGGCAGTGTGCAGTTCATCCTTCAGCAACAAGCTTGCTGAAGGAAGCTCACGCCATGTTCAGTACTGTGAAAGGCATCTGCCATTTTGAGCTTCAAGTGGCTGAGTACGGCCTCTCCATAGAAATGGTAAGTGAGGATGGATCAGCTTTTAGTCAGCCAGAGGGGACCGGGATAGTCCCTGCTGCGCCAGAGGTCGGTTTAGAGTGCAGCTGGACCAAACCATGAGCAGAGGCACAAAAACATTGGCCGCCTCTCCCCAGCTCAGCTTCCAACAGGCCTCAGCAGACTTCTTGGGCATTGAATAAGGTAGTTCTTTTAAAAGGTAGGAAATAGCTAACCCTTGAACACCTGACCCAGTCTGTGCACCGAAGAATTCATGGTGCCAATATTTTCAGGTTCAAAAACCTAACTTTAGGCAAAGTCTCAGAATCTCAATTACTGCACATCTTTTCAACTCAGAGGTTAGACTCCGCCCCTTATATTTGCTTATTTAACAGCCACTATTTGTGTAAAACTGAATAAATTAGGTATTACATTTGTGTCAGCTTTCATGATATTTAATTTTTAAGTATCCCTGAATATGCGCTTGCATCCTTTGTTTCAAATACATTTCATGCTAAATTTTTATCTATGTGTTTTTTCTAGATAGGGACTAGATGTTTAAATTGTAGTGTTGGTAGAATGCTAAGCATAAATATGTTATGTTTTTTAGGTGTTCCTAACAGTAAACCCATTAATTAGGTTAAGTGAACCTTTAAAGCTCTGGAGATTTATTTATTTACTGTTAGAGAATTTTGCAACTAATAATTATTTTGTGTCAGTTATGCAGTCATATTCATAAAGGAACTCTATAGGGTTAGGAATACAAACCTGTATTCCTCACGCTATAGTGCCCTAGTCCATATTTAGATTAGGTTATCCCCCAACTGCAATGATTTAAAAAATGTTTTACTTCCCATTATTCCAGCAATGAGACTTCATCCGGAAGGCTTTACTCTCTCAACTATGTTCCAATCCAATGCTCCTCATAGAGGTTGATTGGGGATATGATGCGTTGCAAGTAAGCTATTATAGGATGCGCAGGCATCCTATAATCGCTTCTCATAGGAAAGAATTTAATTCAATGCATTTCTATGAACTGCATTTGTTCACATGATTAAGTTTCACTTGATTATTGTTGAGGAAGCACTTCCACTGCAATATGTTAGATTGCATGGTTAAATCTACAGGTTCACTGCACCCATACCAGTTCATTGAGATGAAGTTGTCTGGATCTATTTAGTTGTCTTCCATGTATTTGAACTTTAAATACTCCATTGCTGAAATTTTTATTTTGTCTATTAACAGCACATTTTCAGTCATGGAGACAGAACTGTTCCTGATATCAGCACGTTTATGATGCCACATTATATGAATAGCTCGTAAGTTGTCTTCAAGTGTTCCGAGCAGTTTGTTTCACTTTAATGGCTTGACTGTTACTATTGAATGTTATTTGTTAAAAATACAATTATGTGGCTGGGCCTGACAGCTGACTGAGATGGTCGCACATGGCTGGAGCTCTGCTGAGGAAATTTCAAAATAAGCATTTTACTTGAAAAAAAAAAGCTTTCTTATCGGCAATAAACAAGTTTTATCTCCTGTGGCACACCCTGCCCAGAGTTTTACCTACTCTCCTGGTGGGCAATTACTGTGCTAGACTGCTCTGAGGCCTGCTGACATATCCAAAGCTGGGAGCCGCCCGATTCTCCGTACGGGTTTTGTTTTCGCCACTGGGTCCTGTTCCCCATCTCCCAGACCGGTGGGGAATATATCCCGATTCCCACTGGTGGAGTGTTGAAGCATACTCTAGGTGACTAGTAGCAAATACATGCAGATTGGAAAATCAACGTTTGCTGTGCAAAATGGCTGCTACCCTGAAGCCTGCTGCACCACATGCTTTCACACAGTCTGCTGCCCAAGTGGATCTATTTCTACTGGCTTTTGACAAACTGCGCTCACAATTCAGGGAGAAGCTCACCAAGCGACTATTTACCAAGAGACCCAAGAGTCGATTCAGGGTTGTCGGCATGACTCTCCTGTTCAACAACATAATGGGCAGCTGATCCCAAATATTTACAGTGAGGAATCGCAGCTGATTAGCCGTTATTGACAAACATTACATCACCGAATTTCCCGGTCCACACTGGGTTGACCACCCACACAGAGCTCACACCATCATAGGGCTCCAGTTGGAGGAATCTGAGAACCGGATCCGGTCACCAATTGTTGCTGGCTTCCTGTAAGCATCATGCAAGATTGCACTCATACTTGAGGATGGTGGACTGCATCCATATGGCTGGCTGGACTTGGGTGCTCTGTGCAGCTTTCCCCTTGCCGGCATCAGCTGAGTTGGCCGCAGTCCCCTTATACAGCAGTGCTACATATATCTGTTTTAACGGATTTATTTGATTTCTTTCTCTGTGGTGTCTATATTCCTACATAATATGTCTTCTGTACAGCATTTTTACTGGCCATTGGTTTCTATGCTCTTGTTAGCCTATCAAGTTTGCGTAATTTTAGTTTACTGCTTGGCATTAGAATATCATTTTACCATCACAGCAAAGTACCGTGCTCTCATATCACTCATGTTTAGTCCACAAATAATTTCAATAATGTGTTCCCACTTTATTAGCTTACATGGGTCATGAGCCTATTAATTCTGGCATTTTCTTCTCGGCTTCTAAAAGCTTAGTAAATCACAAGATATTCTAAGTTATGTCATGCTGGTACTGTCTAAAATATCAAACTATTAATACTAATAAATTTTTTGGATCTCACATGTTATACTACCATTTACATACGATTTGAAAACCACTGTTCACATTCTTTTATGGTTTACTTTTCTCGTATGAACCAATATATATGTGTTAAACTGCTAACGCTTGACTTTTCTGTTTAATATATAGTGAACTGTTAAAAAAATAAAGATTTACCCCCCCAAAAAGACATATCATAATAGGTAGAAATCTACAGTCTAAGGGAAAAAAACAAGATATGATAAATGATATCCAGACATATCCTAAATTCTATGTTTTAGTGAGAAATGTTATTCTATTTTAAATGAATATGATTAAAACTAAATATAATATTAATATAAAACTAAATATAATTAGGGAGCTATGAATCTATCTAAAAAAACCTGTGTCAAAACATAAAAAAACAGAATAGAAACATAAAAGTGAAATATAAAGTGTCACATTAAAATGTAGGCATAATCTTCCTCATAGTTACGTATATTAACAATGTTAAGGAGGCTGAAAAGAGGCATGTGTCCATCAAGTTCTGTCTTTCTCGCATCTATTTTTGCTGTAGATCCAAAGTAGGCAACAATTCCATTCCAGTACAATCTCTCCTTGGATTAAGAAGTTATTACTCCACAAATTAAAAATAATTTCCCTGAATATTATGTTTTTTTACAAGTATTCATCCAGTTGCTGTTTAAACATCTGTACAGACTCTTTTAAAACCGGCAGATAATTTCACATTATTGTTCTTACTGTAAAAAACTCTTTACTTTTCCTTAGACTATGTCTCTTTTCTTCCAGTTTAAAAGTTTGACTGTGTGTCCTATGTATAGCCTTTTTTTTTTTTAATGAATACAATGGTTTGTATTGCCCCTGAATATATTTGTATAATGCTATCATATCTCCTCTTGAGGTTCCATTTTTCTAAACTGAACAGATTTAAATTTGCTAACCTTTCTTCATTAGTAAAATGTTACTTTTATTAATATTGTAGCCCACCTCTGCACTTTTCCTAGTGCCACAGCATCTTTCTTTAGAACAGGTGACCACAACTGCACATTTAAGGTGTGCTCTTACCATTGATTTAGAAAGATGCAAAATTATATTTTTATCCTGAAAATTAATACCTCTTTTTATACATGACGATACCTTACTGGCAGTAGCAATTGCTGATTGCACTTTGTTGCATAGTTTGTTGTATATAACAATTTCCAAAGCCTTCTCGCGTGTTGTTATCTCTAATTCAATACCCTTTAGGGTGAACGTTGCTTATGCCTCCTTTACCCCAAAGTACATAACTTTGTATTTATATACATTCAATTTCATCTGCCATTTGAGTGACCAGTCCCCCAATCTATCTAAATCTCTCTGCAGTGAAGTAATATCCTGCTCACATTGTATTACTTTACAGAGTTTTGTGTTACGTGCAAACACTGTAACATGACTTTCAATGCTTATTTCACGTTAATTTTTTAAGTTGTTAAATAGTAGTGATTCCAGAACAGAACCCTGATGAACACCATTTACTTCTTACAGCTTACAATTTTACCATTAAGGACAAATCTCTGTAGTCTGTCTTTAAGCCAATGTTCTACCTAAGAACAAGAAATTTCATCTAGGCCACTTTCTTTTAGTTTGAACACTAACATATTGTGTGGAATCGTATCGAACGCCTTAGCAAAATGCAAGTAGATAACAATCATTGCAACACTCTATACTTCTTCGAATAATGCAATTAAGTTAGTTTGAAATGTCCTATGTTTCATAATACAATGATAATTTTTGCTAATAAAAATGTTCTACCCAAAGAATTCCTGAATATTATCCTTTAATAAACATTCAAGTACTTTACCAGCCATAGAAATAAAACTCACAGGTCTATAATTTCCAGGCAAACTTTTCAAACCCTTTTGAATATTAGAACCACATCTGCCTTCCTCCAACCTGGTACAAATCCTAAAAGAAAAGAATACGGACAGATTAAAAACAAAGGTTCACTTATTCCCACACTTAGCTCCTTAAGTACTCAAGGGTGAATACTGTCAGGCCCCAGAGCTTTTTTACATTAATTTACTTTAGTTGCCTTGAGTCATCCAATCTAATTTTTTGCAGCAATCATTTTCCTGGTCTTCGTTAAGTAATACACCTATTTCTCTCAAAATAAGAGAAAGGAACAAACCGAACTAAGATTGGAGCCCAACCACACAAGCGAAAAGGAGATCTTCAGGGAGAAAGTAAAGAGAGGTGGAAAATATGTACAACAGAGAAAAAAGAGAAAGACACATTCAATCTCCAATAAAGGGATTTTTTATTTGAGTGGGAAAATATTAAATTAAGATCATAAAAAAATCATTAGGAAAGATCTAAAGTTTGCACCTAGCCAATGTACTTAGACTTAAATTATTATTTTTTATTATTTATATAGCGCCAGCAAATTCCGTAGTGCTTGATGTAATAGAAAATTATACCTACAAACATTCTTTACGAGAAACCCAATAGAAAGTTTAACAATATATAAACAGAGCAAAAAAAAAAAACAAGTCGCAAGAGAGTGCTGAGGACGGACAACAGCTCAGTTAGCCTGCCCTTCGGTGGATCCCCGCTCAGTTCTCAAGCTGGTTTTAGCTCATCTTGTGCCATTACAAAGAGAACCAGACCATGCATCTCAGACTGATTCCACCCAACAAGGCAGAACAGTTCTAAAATACAGGCCAGCTCTCTCTGCACAAGAGATACAGCAACCCCAGACGATCGTTTCAGCCTTGTTAGGCATCATCATTTCGGCGTAGCTGATATCTCTATAGGCACCGTGAGCAAGGGGTCCACGTCTGGATTACCCTTTAAGCTTAAGGAGAGCAAAAAAAACAAGTCGCAAGAGAGTAAACAAACTAACCTAAAAGAAAAAACTACTTTCTTTACTAAAATTATGATTTCAGATAAAATGATCTCCTTTGAAATAGTTGTCATGACAGAAATAAATCCAAATAAAAGATAGATTCAATATTAATTTAGCTTTAAAAGAAAAGGGGCATTAAATGATTTATAAGAAAATTAGAACTTTGTTATTAAACATGTGGATAATGGAGGAGCTATAGTTTCAGTGTCTAGACTAGAGAGTTCTATATAAAAGAGTCAGATAGAATTTTAAATTCTAGCAGCACTTACAAAAAAATATTAAAACACAATTTTTAGACTTTTTAAATAAAGGGTTCACATTAGACATTTTATAAAGGTAAAACAGGGGATGTAGGGAAGTAGCGCTTAACAATTGAGAAAAACAAAATGGGACAGGAATACTAATATAGTGTAGAATGTCTATAACAGCAGAGGCAGAATATGGGAAAAAAATATATTGCACTCACACTTTTCTGGAGCTCAAGATCAGCTCCAGATCACATAGTATGGACTGTACAATCCCCTTCTGTGGATGTTAGGATGGTCTTGATTTCCTCTGGTATCGTATCCCTGTGCCAATAATCCACGTGGTGTATTCCAGATGATGCTCCAGTGATATATATAAGATATAAAAGAACAGGAATAGTGTTCTCTGTATTAATAAAACAATTAAAATAAAGAGAGAAATATATTCACAATGGATTAGCAAATAGGGATTGCTCAGTCCTTTACAGCATAGGTGGTTGGTCCCCCACCTGGGAATTTGAGATACAGCTTCTCCAATAAAAACATGTCCAATGAAGGTGCAGGGGTACAAAGTAGATTAATTTTATTCAACAAATAAAAAGTAAGTAACACAGTAGTGCGTTTCACCTATACAGAAGGCTTTTTCAAAGTGTTACAGAGTAGGGGACCTTCACTCTTAAATAGCTTAGAAATTTTAAAAAAACGGTCAGATGATGTCACTGATCATGTGACCTGAACATTAATTAACTTTAAAACATAAAATAAAACCAAATAAGCAATTAAAGATAAAAGAGAGTTTTTAAAAACAACATAGTATGTGTAAATATATTAGGAATAATAAGTA